TGAATTTGTGAAAGAAATTTATATTTTACTGAGCTGGTTTTCAATGACCATAGTGTGCTAGTCATTTAGACAATTATTGAATCAGGAAGCATGGAAGAAAATCACAATGAAATAGAAGTAAAGTAACTAATATTTTATTAGGCATTCATTCTATGTTCTGTCAAATAGTTTTGAAATATGATCATTAAATTTTTCAAAGCAGACATAGAGTTAGGGATTATTATTCACTATGCAGAAAAACTAAGCCTGCAATGGAGTTTGTCACTTACAAAGTGAAGGTCAGAGTTACACCTAAATATCCTGAACATCAGCTCCTATGTCAAATAGATTGTTTTATCTGGATCTGGGTTTAGGCAAATAATATGTAAACATATCTCACATAAATCCAAAGTATCATTAAAATGTATATTAAGTGAGTCTGAAACAATGACTATAGGCAGACTTTCTCTGAAAGAACAAACCTAGTCAACACTGCTAAGTTGGTATGCACTAACAAAATCAGAGGAGCTCATATTCTTGTCTTTATGCAGTGTTGTTATAAAAGTAAATTCTCATCAAGTTCTGAAGTTTGCAGTGGAATGTACAAAAACTGCATCTCCAGCTTCCCAAATTAATCTGCCTGCCATTTGGGCAAATATATGTGTGTTTGGTCATGACAGCTTGACAACTGGCAGATAGCTCTTGAACATCACGTTCATTTCAATTTAATCCTGGCAAATTTCTCAATTAGAATTTTACTTCTCACTTTCTGCACAATGAAATCCCTCAGTCCTTGCTGGCGTTCCTCAGGGCATCCAGGTGCAGGTGCTGGCATTTTTGCAGTAGCAAAGGAAGAAAAGTAAAAGGAGGAAAAGGGGGAGAGAGGAGACAGCCTGAGAGAGGGTAGTTGTAATAGGGAGAAAAGGGAGACAGTAGCTGACCTTCATCCTGATATTCACCTTCATGGAAAATGAAGGGAATAATTCATACTTGACAATAAAATAGCACAGCTGCCTTGCTTCCTTGAACAAAAGATGCTGGAGTCAAGCAAAAGTCAGACACCCCATGCTTAAGATCAATGCAGGACCGAAGGCACAAAGATACAGAGGGGAACAGATTAATAAAATAATTTTCAAAGCAGAAACAACAACCAACCATGGAAGATACGTTTACTTTATAGCCTTCCTTCCACCCTTCCACCTGTATTTTATCATCCAATTTTCACACAATGATAGGAAGGTAGGAATTATTATCTTTTCATGATGGCTAAGGAAATGAGGCAATAACATAACATCCCCACACTTTAAATTCAAGCAGATCATAGGAAATGCAATAAAGATTCAAGGCGACACTGTGATTTCAATATAATCTCTGGTTTTTGGAAGACAGGTCACAGCCTAAGGTTTTCACAAATTTATATGTACATGTATGTATATATGTATATATTCATATACATATAAACTTACAGGCACACATAACCATTTACATCTGTAGCTACCAATATGTTTTTAAAGCTTTTTGTTAAGTGGAATGGTTTGACATTTGCAGAAGTCTTCCAATGTATTTATCATGCATATGACTTAAATACACAGCAAAAGGAGTCTCTGACAAATTTACCATCAACAAGTAAACACTTGCTATTAAAATGGAGGAAATACCATTATAATGAGACAAAAATAGAAACTTCACTGTTCCTCATTAATTAGTAATTTGGGTAAAGTTTGCTACATGTACTAATGGTGCCAGTAATTCTTTAGAATCATATTATTGCAATCTGGGTAAGATGAAATCAAAAATTCATTGACTTAAATGAGCTGATGAAAGAAAGAAGGAAGAAAGGAAGCTAGGAAAGAAGGAAGGAAGAAAGGGAGGGAGGGAGGGAGGGAGGAAGGAAGGAAGGAAGGAAGGAAAGGCCAAAATAGAGAATGGAAAAAGATATAGTGTTTCTCTGGGCGGGGTTGTACATTAGAAGCTAAAAGAACAAAGATGGAGGTGGCTTGCTTATTTTGTGTGTTTCTTTTCTTATGGTGTTGCCAAAGGTGGAGAGATACTTTCTTGCTAGGAAATCATAAAAGTCTCTCTAGAAAAGTGTCATTACAGTCAGCCATTGAGGAGCAATTCGGTTTCCATAAGCTGAAGAAAAAAATAGAAATCCTTGCACAAGAGGTAAATAAAGTGGTATTCTGGCAGGAGAAATATATAGATAGGATATGAACAGCTGAAATCACATCTGAGTTTGCTGCTGCAGCGGATGTACCTACTAAAGTCACTTTATATGTTGGTAAGAAAAAGAAATAAAAAGAAGTCAAGCTAACTCATATCTCCCCTACCCCTGCCCCAGCTTAAACCTACAAATAATTATTCTAAGTCAAGCAAACATCTAGAAAATATGAGGAAATCTTTTCTCCATGATACAAACATGAATATGTTAAGAAAATAACAAGGTAAGAATTGAGTATGTTATTGTTCAGGTTGCAGAGATTATCCAGTGGGAGACATCAGGAACTGATGACCAAAGAGTGATCTCTAGGGGTTTATTAGAGATGAGAATCTCAAGGACTTTCCTCGCCTGGGCTGGCTTTGATCTCTGTAGCATCCAAGAATGATGCTACAGAGACTTGACAGGGAGAAAAGAAGCAATCATGTCTCTTATATTATCAATATGGGACTTCATAATGGACTGGGATCTCTGGCAAAAGGGTAGAAGTGAACGGACAGGGAAAAAAAAGAGTTTACTTAGGAAACCTAATAGATTTAAGTTTGGAGTTTGCGCTTTCTATGGAATTTCCAGGTTAAAAAGATTCAAACAGACTGGGCAACAATGGCTCAATACCTGTAATCCCAGCTACTCAGGAGATCTGAGATCTGAGGATCATGGTTCAAAGCCAGCCCAGGCAAGGAAAGGTCCTTGAGACTCTGATCTCCAATTAACCCTTAGAAATCCGGAAGTGGCAATTTGGCTCAAATGATAGCATGTTCACTTTGAGCTGAAGAGCTCAGGGACAGTGCCCAAGCCCAGAATTCGAGCCCCACAGCCAACCGACCAATAAATAAATAAAGATTCAAACAATCAAGAACACCATCTATGTCTGGTGCTGGTGGCTCAAGCCTGCAATCTTAGTTACTCAAGAGGCTGAGATGTGAAGATCATGATCCCTGAGACACTTATCTTCAATACACTACTCAGAAAAAGCCATAAATGGCTCTGTGGTGCCAGTAGTAGAGTGCTATCCTCGAGAAATGAAGCTCAGAGACAGTGACCAGGCCCTAAGTTCAAGCTTCAGGACCAACACAGACAAAAGAAAAATGCCATCCACAGAGTACACATGGCTGAACATGGATTGACCAAGTTAGAGAATGGAAGGGAAGAGGGAAAAGCTGAAAGAAAATAAAGGAAAAATAGTGAAGGAGAAGGAGGGAAAGAAGAGAAACCTAGAAAAACAGGAAAGGAAAATAACTATGAGACACAAAACACTCATAAACTGTGACAAAATGAGAGAATCACATTCGAAGATCATGACTTTTTGTAGAAGCAGATGTGATCCAGAGGGGATCAAACCTCATTGCTGATATAAATTAAAATGCTAAGAACACATGGGATAGGGAAAGAACATTCTGTGTCATGTCTGATAATGAGCAACACATTGAGCTTTGAAAACTCCAATCAATACTTTGCTTTTATTTTAATCTACAATAAAGTTTTGAGGGATTTTTCACCCCATATATTTCTTCTTGGCGTTCTTCCCTATAAGTATTTGTAATTTTCCTGAGAAGTTTGAATAGGACTCTTGATAGGGATTTTCTTGGCAGATAATTTAATGTCAGATGTAAGGTCTTGAGACAATGAATAGACATGTCTTTATCTTATCCTGGCCTTCAGTTTGTATCTTCAAGTGCCAGCATGCTCACACACTTCTAATGTGTATAACTTTGTTCATGTATCTTAAAGCCAACTAACTATATAAAAATTATTTTTTGATGTTATCCTCTGAATCTAGCATCCCTACTGTCATCAGACCAGGAAAAACTTTACAATCACTCCTTTGATCATATAATGTTTGGGGTATAGCTTTCTCTATATCAAGGTTGGAGCTTGGGGATGAACAAACAGATCCAAGAATGAAAGAACAAGATTAAAACATTTAGGGATATGTATTGCTTTCTCAGAAATGGAAAAGATTAGTTGATGACTCAAAAAATGTGGGACTGGACACGAGGTACTAATGGCTCATGCCTAGCTACCCAGGAGGCTGAGATCTGAGGAGCATGCTTCTAAGCCAGCCTGGGCAGAAAAGTTCCCATGACACTCATCTCCAATGAACCACTCCAAAACCGGAAATGGTGCTGTGGTAGAGCACTAGCCTTGAGCAGAAAGGGGTTCAGGGACATTGCCCAGCCCTTGAGTTCAATCCCCACACTGCCAGAAAGAAAAAAGTGGAATTGGGTTAGTAATGATAGGCTCTGAAGAACTGTTCTGAAAAGAAAATGTGCCCCCCCACCCATCAGAAGTGGCATTGGTAATGTAAACTGTAGAATCCACTGGAGACTCAGCCTACCAGCTGAATCCAACATCTAACTGACAGCAGACCTAAATGGTTTCCCACTTCTATTATGTACCACATCTGTATGAATATATACAAACAAATAATTAAACATGAAGCAAATATCAATAGGATTAGCTTGGCATGTTGGAACAAATCTTGATAATTCTGTCTCAGCAACAATACTCAAAGTACAAGTCTATGAGAGGAATACAAATTTTGCCTATTGAAGTACTGTCATGTAAGGAGAGATATTTTAATAAAAACTGCTTCTCTGTCAGGTCCTATTACTAAGGGACTAAAGCTATTGAGCTGTGGAACTTAAGCCAAAAAGGAGGATTTGGAAATGCAAATGTGAGATAAAACTGTAAAAAAAAAAAGTCTTTTATTCAACAAGCACCATTGCCCATTCTTGAAGCCATGAGCTATTTATTGCAAAGATGAGTCTTAACAATTCGATGGAATTGAAAGCATACATACCTAAAATGGACATCTCTGGAACAGTAGCATGATAGGGTCCATTAAGAAACTCTGGTGCATTGTCGTTGATGTCTTGAACTTTAATAATAAATTCAGAAGGTGGCTCAAGAGGTTTGTTTGTCTCCCAGTCCACAGCCTGAGCTGTTAAAGTGTACTCAGCCTTTTCTTCTCTGTCAAGTCTTTTTATAGCATGGATATCTCCAGTTGCATCATTTATTTGAAAGATTGTCCCAGCACCATCACCTGACAGGATATACTTGATTTTTTTACTTCCAGGATCCAGGTCTGTGTGTAGCTAAAATAAAAAAAAATGGCATTAATTAGTGATGGAAAAATCTGCGAAGCTGTTGTTTATTTGTTTCCTGTTTGACCATTAAATTTATTTCTTTCCACAATGTATCATGAGTTTTCTTGAAGTATAGACGTAAGAAATAAGTCTATGCAGTCATACCGACATCATTTCAAAAATAAAATATATTGAACTTCATAGTAATAATAATAATAAGCCAAAACATTCTTAAGAAAGTGCTCTGATTTATGGAAAATTGACACAGTATCAGAATGAAGAAAAAGTCAACAGAAAGCTACCAAGAAATGTGAATTCATTTTCAACTTACCAACATGTGCACTGAATATTGTCCTTATTAGCTACTTGGGAAGTACTAGGCAGTGACCAGATTAGATATTTCAGTGATTTTGTGTGTGTGTGTGTGTGTGTGTGTGTGTGTGTGTGTGTGTGTATGTGTGTTGGTTCTGGGGCTTAAACTCAAGGTCAGGCTCTGTCCCTAAGCTTCAGTTTTGCTCAAGGCTAGTGCTGTACCTCTTGAGCCACAGCTCCACTTCCAGTTTTTGGGTGATTAATTGGAGATAATTATCTCATAGACATTCCTATTGGAAACAAGATCTTCAGATCCTAAATAGAATGATAGGCATGACTTATTATATACAATCATTTACTTACACACAAACAAAAATGGTATTCTAACAATCAGATTTATAATAAGGTCTTCTTATTTTGGTTTGTTTTGGGTTTTTTTGCTTGTACTAGGGGTTCTTGGACTCTATCACATTATTCATGCCTTCCTCCTTGTTTATTATCTGCTTGGTATTCTGATGATGCAGTCTACTATACTTTTCTACCTATATTGTCTTTGAACAGTGATCCTCATAATCTCAGCCTCCTGGATAGCTATGATTATGGCATGAACTATAAGTATCCTAACAGATCTTCTAAATTATTAAAGGCTTTATTTAAAAATATTCTTTAATTCTTAAAATTCTTCTGACCCAGGAAAATAATTCCATTTGAGAGAAAAGAGCAGTCAGGCCAAAATATAGGAGCATATTTAGTAATATTAGAATTCTCTGGAAACTGATAGCTTTTCAATGAGTATCGTACTCCATCTCAGGTGACAGCAAAAATATTTATAGATTAAATATTTACTGAATGTGTATATTTGACAAACATTCTATATGAGATGTGTGGTCAAGATCTGGGATAAATATAATCCCTATTTTTATAATTCTCAAGAGGGAGAGAACTATGTTGTGACTTTCACATTTTAAGAATAAAATAAGAATATAAAATGTGTGGGTTCCATTTCATGAAACACAGTTCAAGTGTAGACAGTATGAGTTTAACTCAGTTATTTAGCTGCCAATATACTTCTAGTTACTGCTTAAATATTTATCCCTCAAAAGAAAAAAAAATAGAACTATCTTGTGGAAAGAAACTCCTAGAAATTCTAACAGCATTGTGTTCCCTTGGGATCCATTTGATTCAGAAGAGTCTCTATTGTTTTCTTCCCCAATTTGAATTATATTTAGTGCTTCAATAAGCGAAAAGAAAAGATTATAAAAAAGACATAAAATAACAACAAAGAATCCAAATACATCTAGATCTCTTCTGAATATTTTTAAAAAATGGAATGCAAAGATTACATCAAATATTTATTGAATCTTGAAATGTACCCTTTTCATTTATTGAACTAAATTTATGAACAAGAACAAATATTGAAATGCCACTTTATCTTAATGAATGTGAGATTATAATTCATTAATATAATATTAATCCCAAATTAGGATCATTTTAATTTATGTGCATTTTAACATTTCCATTAGCATTTTTATTAAAAAAAGAGTAAATTTGAATAATATATAATTCAATGGAGGCTTCCTTTCACATGCAAGTCATTGTGCAGACAGTGAAAACATTGGCATGTGCTACACTTGCCCATAATTTTAATAACAAAACACTCAAATTGGTCTTATTGTTAGAATTTATTTTTGCCCTATTTCCTTTCCAATTACCAATAACCTCTGATTTGTAAATTGCATTATCACCTCAGCTTTCAACAAATATTTTCTTTTAAAAGTAAGTATGGGGAAAGAATTTAAAAGTATAGATAAGGTTGTGCAGGGTGGTTCGTAACTGTAACCTTAGGTACTCAATAGGTTGAGATCTGAAGATCACAGTCTGAAGCCAGACCATGCAAAAATGTTGGGGAAATTTGTCTCCAGCTAACCAAGAAAAAAAAGGAACTGAAAGTTTGGCTTAGTGGAATGGTGTTTCCTGTGAGTGAAAAAGCTAAGCAAGAACTTGAGGGCCTGAGTTCAAGCCCTGGTCTTGACAAAGACTAACTAACTAACTAACTAAGTATGCATGGATATTTTTGAAATAATAAATCACAAAGTTACTATTCAGCTCTAACAAGACAAATAAGAGAACATATAACTTGTTTAAGCTTCAGGTCCTTGGCCTTGTTTGGGGGGATGAAACGTTCACCCTAGAATCTGAGACAACCCATTTACTTAAAAAATGTTTTAAATGGGAGTGGCAAAAATTAAGTGTCACAAGTAAAACCATTTTCTCTTTACACATTATTCAGCCCTATAAAAGCAACTGAAAACACTTTGATTAGACCATTTGTATCCTAAGTGCAAAAAAATTCCCCAAGATTCAATTCAAAAATAGTTTTTAAAGGTATACCATTCAGGAAAAAAATTAATTGAAAAAATGTAGTAAATATTGCAATCATCCTCTTTATTTTGCCCCAGAAATCAATTTTTAGCTCACCTCAGTAACAGTCACATCCTGAAGCTAGTAATCTATCTATCTATTTAGATAATCTATCTAAATAGATAGACAGACAGATAGATTTTTTTTGTCAATCACGGGGCTTGAACTCTGGGCCTGGGTGCTGTCCCTATTCTCTTCAGCACAAGGCAAGCTCTCTACCTCTTGAGCCACAGTGTCAACTTCCGGTTTTCTAGTGGTTTATTGGAGGTCAGAGTCTCACAGACTTTTCTGCCTGGGCTGGCTTTGAACCCTGATCCTCAGATCTCAGCCTCTTGAGTAGCTAGGATTACATGCTTGAGCCACCGGCGCCCAGCTGCGAGTAATATTCTTGAAAGAGAATTTCTATGTTCATTTTTGTTACTATTTGTAGAAGTCTCTCTTACTCTCTCTCCATCTCTCTCCCTCAAACATAGACATACACATACACACAGTCCTACACATATAACAAAGATTCACATGTTAATTTTTTAGGTAAACAACTTGAAATTATGAGGAAAAGACAGAGAAAATGAAGGAAATGAATATATCAATGGTCAATAGAGCAAAGAAACAGACTGCTGTGTCTGACAGAAGTGTTTGAGGTTTATGAAGAGAAGCTGCTGTGTCATAGTTGTTCTGCATGTCTTTTGGAACTTGCTCACTTACTGCCCAGTATTCCCTCTTCATTCCGCCACCAAAGACTCTCTGAGATTTTTGAGCTACAGATACCCCAAGTGCACAGAACATGCATACACCAGGCCTCATCAGGATGTCTGAGCATCATCTCTCCAACATCGGCTTCTGCTAATTGGGCATGGCAAGGGTCACATGTAAATCAGCCTGGATCGGCAAGATTCCTTGAGTTGGCTGTACAGTAGTACAAAGGGATTTCTTCTGTTCCGTCAAAAAACATGTAGAGAGCACTGCATGATCTTTTGTACCTTGAATGATTCATTAAGACTAGAAATACAATGATAAACAAGATGGATCTGGTTTCTGCTATTATAAATGCTGTTCTATGGGAGGTAAACCTAAATAAAGATTTTAGGAGTAGAGACATTATTTATTGTTTTTGTTATTAAATATATATATCATTTGCTACCTTTTAGAATGTTTTAAAAATACATTGGTATGTATCGTCACAATGAATTTGTAGTTATTATTCCTGGGGTTAAGAGATGCACAATTGGGAGCAACAATGAGAGCAACAAGGTCTCTCACTGTCTCTCACAATAAATCTTGAATTCCTAGAATCACAGCAGGACTGCTACATTATGGAGCAGAATCATGAGTACCACTCAGCATACCCTCATCATCTTCCCTATGTTTGCACAACACCTCTCAATTAAAAGGCAAGTTTACACTGTAAAAGTCTTAAGAAAATGCATTAGCGTATCATTCTCCTTTGTATTCCTTCTGCTTAGTGAAGTGTTTGTCATATTGTCAAAGCTCAGTAAATATTTGTGAAAGGAAGTGAATATTAAAGGAAGGGAAGGAAAGAACACTTCTCATTTTATTGGCAAACCAATGATTAAAGGAGGAAGCAAATGAACTTAGGAAAGGGTGAGCTAGGGACGTGGAAATCTGATCTGGAGTAAACGCAAACATTCCCCAAGGATATACTCAAATTTGGTAACAAATGTAAGATGGTAAATGTAATATGGTAAAAATGTAATATGGTAAAAATGTAATATGGTAAAAAGTTAATGAGAAAAGGAGGATTCATCAGATGGAATGATTTATAGTAGATAAATATTAGTTGAATTGTAGATGCCAATTTTCTTGTCCTCAGACATTACTGTTCTCAGAATCAGAGTAAAACCCTGAGTCCCTGTCATGGTTTTGCATATGTATGATCATGAAAATATATCCCTTCTTTGCAAAGAACATCCTCTAGGCTCAGAAGTAATCCTAAACCATGGGGCCTGAAGAACAAAAATTCTTCTCTGTGAGTGTTACTCATATGAAATTATGATTCAGTTTCCAGTGAGGATCAGACCAACTCTTCTGTCTAACTCTTACACTAGAATAAGATGAGAATCAGGACTGAGTCAACTGCATGGTGATCTGTTTCATTAGCTGAACATGGGGTAGCTCTGGTACCAGAAATTAGTTTGAAGATGTACTCTCTCTAGAAAGCATGAGAGAACATCGTGAACTTTCTATCTTCTCAAGAAGTTTCTAAGTTCTGGGGATACAGTCAGCATAGTTGAGAACCAAGTGATTCACAGAGATTG